TTCATCTGAATTCTACCATACCATTCTTCTGCATAAGTAGACCAGGCCATATAACACAAGACAAAAATGTAGCTTATTACAGGCAAACTTTGAAGTTTGTAAAGTGGGTGAATAGAAGTGAAATGTTTTAATTTTAAACACTCTTATCCAGAATTTACATTATTGAGAAGGGAAAGATAATGTTAACTTGTACATTCATTTTTACTTTGTAATTGAGACATGTCTGTGAGGTCAGATGAGTTAGTGGAGGGAGGTGGGTCATAGTGGAAGACAAGATATGAGATTTCAGTGTGGCTTAAAAAAACAGGCTAATTTCTATATTCAATTCAAAACATTAAAGAAATTCTCCAAGGATGTGCTATGAAATATTGCCTGACTTAACCCCAGCAATGTTAATAATTCAGCCAAAGCTTTCAATAATGAGATTGTATTTGTACTCCCCTTAGGCTCCTTTTTATTTTATGCATTAAAATTCCTTTATTGCTTCAAAATAAAAGCCCCATAGAGATTACAAATTGTAGCCTTTTTTTTTTCATTTTGCCTTCTGAGAATTTCAGTTTAGAAAAATGATTCACAGAGGACTAATGGAGGGGGCAGTAAGGGAAAGAAAAACCTGAAACTTTGGCTTTTAAAAATATTTGTAGCAGTAATAACAGTACTAATTCTCAATTTATGATCAAAAAATCTGAGAATAGGGAAGAAGAAAAGGGTATAATAGTTTTTTAAAAATGGTAAACAAGCAGTGAATATAATAAAGGAGAATATAAACACCATCTGTTTTGGGATACCTATTTGGAAAACATATTGCGGTAAGATTATATTTATTTGGAATGATCCAAATTCCAAATAAATATCTATCCACTGTTGATGATAGACTGCATGTTCAGTTTGTAAGATAGAATTCTGCCTTGCCAATGCTGGAATAGAAAATGTAAATAAGCAAAACTATGAGCCATTTATAATAAATGTTAATGTATAAAGGAGTCAATTGCTCTATATTAGAGTTTTCCCCAAAGCCTTCTAATCTTTTGTCCTCAAAAGCTGGTCTGACCAAGTTTTTTAATTATCTCAAAGTGTCTGGGACTCTGTCACATCATTGCCTGAATTCTGGTTGCCTTGCAGTAGGCAATACTTTATAAAAGCTGCAGGAGAAATCCCTCTCTTAGGAATTAAAACAAATTTCAGATCCACATTCATGAATAAGATCTTTATGGAAGAATTGACACTATTTCCAATTTACTCTTCATTAAGCAACCATTTTTATCGCTTCTTGTGAACCTGAGGCTGGTTGGATAGCTCCAAGGGACAAATATAGTTCTCATTTATTTGTCCATTGTCATAAAGACAGCAGTACATTGATTGTGTGCTGAGGAATGGTTGTTTATTATAAATAGATTATTTGTAATGTAACACATGGACAGTTTGCTCATGGGAAAACAGTACTGTAGGAGTTTAGTCAGAGGGTGTAACTGAGAGAGTGACAGTTGGGACAAGGCCTTTCCCATCATTGCAGCCTCCAGACAGGTTGGATTAGCAATTGTTTATAGGAATTGCGATTCAGAACATCTGGAAGGAATTAGGTGGGGAAATATGACTAAAGAATAGAGTTGCTGGTAGGGACTGTGTATACATTTACAACAGGAAAAAAATAGAATACAGACTCAATTGATTGAGAGTTATTAAGTAAGATGTTGCTTAATACAATAAGTGAACCAGATCTCTCACTTTTTCAGAAACCAGTGTAAATCAGAGAATGCTGTTTCTTCTGGTTGGAGAAAGAGAGAATTTAGTGTATATGATATGTGATGATCTCACTCAGGAAAAGAAAGTCTTTTCTCATGTGTGAAGTACTGGTACTCTTGTAATGGAACCAGCTCCATGTAGAGTTCTACCCTATGTTGATTATTATTTATGTTTGTTACTATAACATTAAAAGCTAGATTATTTGAACATGCGTTTTGATTGGCTTTAAAGACAGATTCTTCTGAAGGTGACAAACACCTTTCAATTTCAATTACTAATGGTGTAATCTGAGGGTGGATAAAATGCACCATTGGGATGCGAGATAGAGAGGGTGAAAGGAACAGACAGAAAGAGAGAAACAACAATAATTAAGTAAATAACATTGTGCATCTTACTTTCTGTAAAACAATCCCCTCTCCAGAGCATCCTCTTTTTCAAAAATTTAAAATAGGGCAATTCTACTTTAACATGCCTCTAGAATGAGAGAGAGAGAGAGGAGAGAGAGAGGAGAGAGAGAGAGAGAGAGAGAGAGAGAGAGAGAGAGAGAGAGAGAAGCAATAAAACAAAGCCTCCAAGCAGAAATATACATAACATGGGTTAGGTAACAAGGCCAATACTAAAATAAGGTGAATCTAGAAATAAGATTATTATAAGTGAAAAACTGAAAGTCTGTAGAGATTCTCAACCATCCAGATCATGGTTGTCCCAAAGATGCTTTTTCAGGAGGCAATAGGACTTTCTTGTTTTTTCTTTGAAGATATTTTGCTTCTCATCCAAGAGCTTCTTCATCTTTGACTGGATGGTGGGGATTGG